GTGTTCGTAGGCCGGCCTGTCACGGGGGCCTGTCGCCTGCATTCGAATGTCCGTGGTCAGCTCAGCTCACAAAAGTGAGCAGTTTCCAGTGGCACCACTTGGAGGAACGGACACCACCACCAATTTCAGAATTATTGACATCCGAAAATAGGTAGGTAACCGAAACAGTCAAGAAGTAAAAACAGTCAATCGAAAACAGATTTCCAATGAAACATGGTTAAAGAAGAAAGTAACCGGATGAAAAATAGGAAAGAAGAGGTCTCATGTAGAGTTAATCAAAAGAACTACGATATATACGAACGTATACAAAAAAAACTGAGTTTTGATTAGCATATCAGTTTCACTGTACAAATGTGTTTGGTGTCCTTTTTATTATCGTCAGAACATCCAGTACAACGATGCTTCAACTTTGCTGAAGCTCTGAAAGGCTTATGCAGTCTCAGTTCAGGAATGTAGTCACAGAGCTACCATATAAAGAAGCTTCAAGTAAAAATAGAGAAAGTTCAGCAACCATTCGCCAGTGTTTTGTCGTATTGAGGCTATCCAAATCCCGACTACCCCAAAACAAGCCCGGTGAGCGTTAGCATGACTCAAACCTCTGCCCACTTATACATCGACGGTATTTTTAACGATGTAGTGTTCCATTTCAAACTTTTGAAGGGTGAGTTGAAGCAGAATCCAAGTACCTCATGAGTGCTCAGGCCTTATCGAGGGCGCGCCTATAAGCTTCTCTGCGGTGTCTGATTTTATGAAAAGACAACACTATAAGAGGCCGCCGCTTGATTTCCAATTTAACTCTGTTTTCTTTTACCAACTTGGCTGCGCACCCGTTCGCGTGCATCGCCGGGGTCTCCGCGGTAGAAAACGGGACCACCGGTGTTTCTGTAACGGTTTTTGGCAGCCCATCTCGCTACGCGCTCCACCTACCAATAGCATGCAAGCGCCCTTTCGTTGCCAGACTTCTACTTTTTCGGTCTTCAGGACAATTTGTAACCGAGTTATCATTTCGTGAATGACTCCACCTATTCCGGTGCACGCCTCACCCACAATATGAATGTATGTTCAAAACTCACTAGGCCGAGAATAAGGATAACAGTCTGTCTATGGCAACGTTGAGCAGAAGCACCAACGAGAAGCATGAGGCGAAGATTGGTGCCAGCTGCAGGTTGATACAAATGTTGGTCTTGACTCGATGGCCGTCAATGCTGAAATTGGTGTTTGTAGGATCAAGTTTCACTGGGCCATTCGATTTATCGATTTCTTTCAAATCACTTAGTCAGTGCCGAATGAATGCGACAAACAGGATTTTCCTCTGCAGTTTCCTGTGAAAACGAAATCCAAAATGTCTCAAACTTTCGGCAAGGATTTTTGAGTTGGCGCGCAAAAAACTACAGAGCCGAATTTTTTCATGCTACAGGATCGTCCACCGAAGTACCCGATGTGCCTAAGGCAATCTGACCTTTTCGTAATTTTTTATTCTCCCAGTTTTTCTTTTAGAGGCACAACCCGGGCAGAAGTCATGTGGACGATTCACTCTGTCCTGTAGGATGGACCCCTTCAGGGCAATAATGTTGTACTCCCGCTCATGCCCGAAAATAGCTCTGGGGTCTTGCAAAGTGAGATGCAGCACCTGAAGAGTTCCCCGTCTCCAGCAAACTATTGTCTGGCTCCCACTATTCTGCTTCGCACTTCCGTCTCATTAGACTAACGTTTTCGGCAGATTCTTCTCCTTTTTCTACCTATGGTCCATTTTGAATCACTTTCATATTTGTGTGCAAAAACAGCACCAGGTTGATCCTGGGCCATGACTTCGAATGCTATTTAATTCACACACACATGGGCTAGCAATGCATGGCGCTACCTGCTAGCTCAGTCTCTCTCCCAGGTGGTGGATTAACCTAAACTATGTAGAAACAGGTAGGCTATAAACATCGATTTTCGCATGTGTGACTGGGAAGACATCTATAAATCAACTGGCACTTGGAACTGATTGGAGGAACCTTAATGTTTCCAGCAGATTCTCTTCATACAGCTAACCATTCTAGAAGGTCCCTTATCCTGCTGGGATTGTTTATATCACCGAAGCAGGATATTACTTGGGATGGTAAAAAATTTTGAGCCGATTTTTTGAAATGCTCCAGAACTTTCGCTTATTGATCGATACCTAGAATCTGCTACGTGATAGATTATCGCTGTCGATCATACTTCTCCGCAGTAGGTATATATTAGCCGGGTTGCCTTCTTTAACTTTAATCATGATGTCGATTCCACAAGAGCACTTTCGAGCGATCATCTTCAATGAATGGCGCTGCGGCACAGGAGCAGTGGAAACCGTCAACATTATCAGCAGCGCATTGGGAAGGGACACCACTTCCATCATCAGTGCCAAGCTCTGGTTCGCAGGCTTCGAAGGAGGAGAACGGCTTTCGAAAACAAGCCAAGGTTGGGACGCCAAACGGTGGAATACTCCACCATTCTCGTGGATGCGGAAGTTAGCACTCGCAGTCTTGCTAAGAGGCTCTGGTGCACCCATCCCACAGTCCTCGGTCCCCTTCACGCCCTCGCCACAGGAAAGTGGCTGACTCAATGGATCCCTCATGTCTTGACCGATAGCACGCGGTTCAGGCGGGTACCCATTTGTCAGTTTCTCCTTCTTTGCCCGCACCGAAAGGAGTTTCTGGAAGGAATGATTACGGGAGATGAGAGTTCCTCTGCGAGTTCCAAGAAGCACCGTGCTGTGTGGCAATCACAAGACCCGCCGACGCAAGCAAAATCGGACCTTCACCCCAATGAAGTGTCTTCTTTGCTGCTCCAAGATTCGTGAGGAATGTTGTATTATGAGCTGCTCCCGCAAAGACATACCGTTACCGGCAGCATTTACGCCAGTCAGCTCCAGAAACTAGCGGACTGTTCGAGAAAAACGGGCTGTCCACCCACCCTATTTCGCTGACATTGCCCCCTCTGATCATCACTTACTTCGCACCTTAAGGCATTCCTAGCGAAGAAAAAATTCACCAAAGTTGAAGACGTTGAAAGAGCGGTCAGCGATTTCTTTGACTCTCAGTCTGCTCAGTTCTGGGAGAAGGGACCTGCCCATTAGGTGGGACTCTGTAGTGAGTAACAATGGTGATTATATTGTTGAGTAAATTCCATTCTATGCTGAATAAAAAACGAAGCAAAAATTTTTTTGAACGGCTCAGGACTTTCTTACCATCCTAATACACAGTGAACTGGAGGCTATACCACCCGGCTAATTTGCTTACCATCTGCACTCCGACTTTGATTCAACAGAGCCATTTGTCAATCATTTCAATTTTTGTTTCTCTGAGTCCAACCCATTTACACATTTACTGTGGTCCATAGTGTTTGATATGACGACTGCTTCTTGTTCTAATTCGGATGCAGTGGTCGGGGCGATCTATACTGCATATTTGTATTATATTACTAGCGTCCCGCGCCAACCAGTGGAGTAGTTGCTTCTTTCATACACGTTCTTGAACATTGAGAAAAGGGCGACATGCTATTCTCGTGGAGCGATTCGGAGTTCAGCCCGTCCATTTATCAGGTCAGATGTTGAGGGGAGCGGACTTCGAAGAGCAACGCAGCTGCTGCAGCTTCTACTCTTCTCTTCGAAAAAAGCAGGGCTACCTTACATATTTGTTACTCCAATAACTCTGGGAAATTCATCATTTTGTATCATGGATATATGGTCACGGAAAAAGATAACCGAGAAATGGCAAGGAAAGAGAACGGAAAAATCGAAATAAAAAACTAACAAATTATAGGCTATTGTAAAAATATAATTGGAGAACGACTGCACGGCGTCGGCAAGAGATAGCAATCCGATAAGCACATTGCACGGTGTTCTTAGCTTCCTGAAATGGTACAAAGTCATTTGAAAGTAGTGTGATCAAGTCTTATATTATAAATAATAGGTTGCAATATAAATGCCGCACAGATACACTCTCACTCCACTGGGCAGCTTACCTGCAAGGGTACTTATGTATTCATCTGAAGAGAGGTGGCAAGTGAAAAAGAGATGGGAATAGTTATACGAGAAGCTTCTCAACGAGAAGTGCAGTCGTCACTTTGGTAGACTTTCAAACAAAGAGCTCGATTAAGCAACCCTTAGAACGACGGCTGACCCCATCTTTTTGGGGGCAGTGGGCAGATGGTCTATATCGGCTGCCAACAGAGACAGAGTCATGAAAGACGATTGGAGCGTATGGGAGAGCTTATCCATTCACTGAACTTGTGTGAAAGATTAGAAAACGGAACGTTTCAGAACACCTAATCTCATGATGAATACCTAATACAAACGATAGGAAAGCAACTATACGCTCTCCACACGATCCACAAGGAGGTAAAAAATACTATTGGCTACACCAAGCATCAGCTCTAACTCTGTGTCCATTCATATTAGTGTGTGCACTCCGGTGTAACGTGAAGAGGACCAAGCTACTGAACTCCGAACAAGGTACAGAACCGTGAACCGTAATGAGGATGAACTCTAAAGAGGAGAGAACTCCCGATACCTGAAGAGAGGTCTTGCCGGAGATGATAGTGTGGATCAGATAAAAAGGCTCGATAAACGCAGCGTAGATGAAGTAGCGAAAGTTCACTATTATGTGGTCGAAGATACTCCAGGGTGCTCAAGCCCAATATGTTCCGGGCGAGTGTGATTGCTTTGAGCTAATGAGTGATGGTCTCTAAGCAAAAGCCACGAGATATAAATCCACTTTGCTGAGATGCACATGTGAACACGTTAATGTTAGACGAGAACGTCAGGCCGGTGATGCATGTGCCTCTGTGCAGCCGGGGTCTTTGAGCAGCGGCTACGATGATACGCTCAAGCCCAAGACACGCTTAATTAGAAATAGTCACGACGATGAAAAGTGCACCATACTCGGCGTGAGATCAACGCTAGGGAGAACCAGAAGGCTCCATGAACGCCAAATTCTTGACGGGATGTCAACAGAACT